CAACAAAGCAACTACTCTGGGCTTGTGAATAAACTTTGGACCTCAGTTTCTTCATCTGTGAAATGAAGTTAACAATTCCTACCTTGCAGTGCCGTTTTTAGGATTCACTAATGTGTACAAAGTTCCTCGCACATGTCAGCTCCTACAGTAGGGTATCCTGGCCCACGACGAGCCCTTGGTTTTTCTTAAGGCCTGGAAAGCCTGGAAAGCACTGAGGCTGAACTGCTGTGTTCCTGTAAGCTAATTGTCTTGATGGAAGCCAAAGGGTAGGACCACACCCCTATGAGAGGGGTGGAGCTTTCCCGAGAGAAATGAGCATCACCGCTAATATCTATTCTGGAAAGAGGTCCAGGGTAATCCCGGGACAGCAAATCAAGACTGTGGTGGGGGACCAGCAGTTAGTGTAATGGCTGTCACTGAACTCCCATGTAGCTGACTGCGGTTCGAGTCCCAGACCCGGTGGCTTAAACTCACGCCGGGCGCGTGTGTGTGTGTGTGTGTGTGCCCAAGATCCCAAGAGGAGAATGGAGGAGAAGGGACTGTAGCATGGCCATCCCCCCAGGGGGTGATTTCTCGCTTTCGATCTCTTTGTATCTCTGTCTTTCTGGTGAGCACACGCGCCCTATAGCAAAACCCTTTCCACAAAAAAGAAAAGAAAATGTAGCGGTAGAGCAGGATTCCAGGGAGGGGCCATCTCTTCCTCTGTGGTGATGGGAGAACTTATGATGGTTGGCCTCAAGGTTTCCTTCAGGAAATATACTAACGGGTATGCTCCCTGGAAAGAAGAGAGATAACTCCTTCAAGACAGTAGCCAGCTTGGAGGAAGTCAGGGAGGACCTTCTTCAGGGCCTCCTGGGCGTAGCTGCTCTGGTCTTCACAACGATTTCAGTTTCATGTTTTCCTTCTGCCTCTCCTGACTTTCAGGAAAGCTTTCTGAAGAATGGCAGCCTACTCTCCACTATCCTTGGGAGTGAACAGGCCTAAGGGAAGCCCAGAGAACAGGTGACAGTAACCAGTGTCAGAGAGAGCCACCTCCAGGTGCAGGAGGAGTGCCCAGAGACGCCAGTGGGATGAAGAGCAGTATTTTACAGCTTGAGCTGCAGGTGACAACCAGAAAGAACTGTGCTTGGGGTGTCCCAAAATAGGGAGGCCATTCTGATACATCATGTAGTTAAGTGGGGTGAATAGGGTCCTACTCACTCTATTTAAAAAGTAGAAGCTCTGAGGACAGCAGATGGTGTAATGGCTACGTTACTGGACTCTCAGGTAGTCGACTCTGGTTCAAGTCCCTGACCTGGTAGTTTAAAACGCACACCGGGAGTGTGTGCATGCATGCCCAAAATCCTAAGAGGAGAACGGAGAAGAAGGAAGTGGTGTGGCTGTCTCCCTGGGGGGTGATTTCTTGCTTTCTGTCTCTCTGTCTCTCTTTGGCGAGTGCAAACACCCTATAGCAAAAATCTCTCTTAGAAAAAAGGAAAAAAGAAAAGAAACTCTAGGGCCAGTGGAAGGCATGGTGGTCATGGTGCTGGACTCCCACATGGCAACTGTGGTTTGAGTCCTGGACCTGGTGGCTCGAAAATCACTTCAGGCACATGTGTGTGTATGCCCAAGATCCTAGGAGGAAAAGGGATTGTGGTGGCCATTCCCCACCGGCGGGGGGGAGGGGGTGATTTCTCATTTTCCCTCCCACTATCTCTGTCTCTCTCCTTCAAGTGCACATACTCTAAGGCAAAAACCTCTACCAAAAAAAGAAGCTCCTTTTAACCGATACATCTCCCTCTTATAATTAATCCCAGCCTAGAGTTAAGATGCTAGGTAGTTAACTTCCAGCAAAAGATTTTTTAAAAATGTACTCTATATTTACTAGTTTTGATATGCCCATTATGGCAGTAATTTCTCATCTGGGCCTTTTGATCCCCACTTGTTTCAGAAAATGGCCAGCCATAGGAAATCCTTTGCCCCTGCAACTGAACAGCCTTCTCTCCTTTGAAACGTCCCCTAATTGCTCGTCCCTTTGCAGCTAAGCAGGGAGGGGAGAAAGTACCTGAAGATCAGTCAGTTTCCCCTGCTCCTATAAGCTGTCCCAGTATCTCTTTCCACTGTGTAAAACTTACTCTTTTCTCACACCCTTAAAACTCTGCTGAAACAAAAGTGACAGCAGATGGAATGCAAGTTTATGAATAAACAGCCTGTGTTAATTTTGTCTTGAACTTAGTTTGCCTTTGCAGATGGGAAGTCATAAACAGAAATATGGCATTTACCAAATGAAAAATTTGGAGGTGAGAACCCAGAGAAGTAAAGCATTTTCATTTCTTGTAGTTTTCTGGTGGGAGG